TACTCGATCGAGTATGCCTTTAATTTTAAACCTGAAATCGATCGAGTATACCTCGAATTTGCATTTCTACACATACTCGACCGAGTATCTTTATATACTCGATCGAGTACCCGAGCTGCACTCCCAAAAAGCCTATAAATACACCCCCTTTCCTTCACAATAGGATACCAATTCCTATATACTTCTAAGCTCAGTTTAGACAAGTTCTTTCTTTATATTTTTATCATGTTTAGTCTCCAAATGAGGAGCTAAACTCTTCCATCTTGGTTTTGCTACTTTGAAGCTTAATGATTTGTAAGTTGTGAGTTATTTTCTTTAATCTTCTTCCTTGAATATTAATTACTTCCTATTCATATCCCATATTAATATATTGAACATTACTTAAAGTATCAACTAGTCTTGTTCTATATATTAATTATTACTAGAATCAATCGGTCAATACGCTTGTTATTAATTCGGTTCTTTCAATGGTAGTAAACTTGGATTGCTAATGCATGCTTCTCATGGTTAATAATCTAAGGGGAATTAATTATATTGATTAAACCAATAAACCGCTTGAGTTGAGGTTATCAATCTCAATCGTTTTCATCTTAAGTTTATTGCTACTATCAAGTTAATATATGGCGCTTGTTCTATATTGACTCGATAATAAGTTTTGTTAATGAACGCTTCTCGTTATTGATAACTATCCTCGATGAATTGGATATACTCCTCGATTGAGTATTCGAGAGGAAGATAGTTAAAGATATAACCGGGATCGACGAACATTTCATTAAGTGGATAAAAGCAAAGCCAAGTATTCTTCTCATTAATTAAATCACATAACTCGTTCATCTTCGTGTTAATTTTAATTAAATCACTCAAACCTAAACCCCCCCCTTTTGTTACTAGTTTATAAAGAGAGAAGTATTCCTTTCCCTGTGGATACGAACCTTACTACACTATACTACGTATTAGTGTCGTATTGTATTATTTTGAGTGCATACCACGACAAAGTGCACGTCACTAGGGTCCAATACAATACTCCGTATAACTCTATCAGTCAAAGAATCACAATTTTCATAATTTAAACATGTGAATCCATATCATATCATGAAGTTTAGTACTACCTTCGTCCCATATTGGTTGTCCACTTTCTATTTGGCACGGTTATTAATAGTGGTTGAAAAGTAAAAGTTGTGATTGAGATTTGAGTAGAATAAGGTGAAATGATAAGAACCACATATTTCTTGCCAAAAAAGGAAACAAGACATTCATTTTGGGACAACCCAAAAAGGAAAATAGGACAACCAAAATGGGACGGAGGGAGTATCTATTTTAGTGCAGCGCTGACAAAAGTTACAACGGAGCTGACATGAATTTTGGGAGTTCGTCGCGCAAGTTTGCATGAGTAACTTTGTCACCAAAAATTACATGTCAAAATTATTTCCCATGACTTATATTTCATTATCTTAAGTATTCAGTGACAAATTGTCACTCCGCTTTTCTATGACCAAATTATTATTATTTTTGTAATGAGGTGTGCTTAACTGCTTATGCCCTTTCTTTCGACACCGTTTAGACAACTGCTTAATACAAACTATTTTGTATGCCCGTCTAGCGTGGTATGCGGTTGCAAAACAACACAACCTTACTCAATTACGAGATAATTACCCAAGTAAGACAACGACAAAATATGAAACGAGAATTCGATCCATATTGTAGAAGTAAATGGCAATATATAAGCCAATAATCCTCTTGTTTTTAAAAGACTTTTCATGAAGTGAATAATGACATCATCCAACAAGAATTCCATCAATATTGTTACATTCCTTATTGTTAAACATAATATATAGCCATTGATTAGTACGTGAACAAACTTGTGTTTGATATACGGAATAATAAAGTAAGTATATTTGCAATACATTATGTTTTTCTGTTGAACTTGCTCTATGACATATGGTTTAAATTATGCCATGAGTCTAGTTTTGTATATTTACAAAAGACAGAGAGGATATTAATTAATAGAAGCAATCTACAATAATAGCGTCTGTACGAATGGTACGAATGGCCTGGTGAAGACGATGATGAGGATGATGATGATAAAAAAATCATAATGATGATCAAAATAATAATAATGATATTAATAATAATAGTAGTAGTAATAATAATAATAATAATAATAGAAATAATAGCAATAATAGTAATAGTAATAATAATAATATAAATAAATAATGATGATGATGATTATGATGATGATGATGATCATGATGATGATAACAATGACATAATGATTATTATAATGGTAATCATAGTTATAAAAAATAAGGATAATTATAAAGATAATAATATAATGATAGTTATGGTTATAATTGTGATGATAACTATCTGTATACTTATAGTTATAATGACAATGATAATGATAATTATAGTTATGATGATAATAATAACTTGATATAATACTAATAAACCCCAATCACATAAAAATATTTAGATCATATTAGAATGATTCAGATCATATCAAAATCAGAAAAACTCATCAGATCAGAAGGTTTATATGGGATCATACCAGATCAGACTAGATCGAAAAAAATTCAGATTAGATCAGACTAGATCTTAAAAACTTCAGATCATAAATATTCATATCAGTCGAATAGAATAATTTCTTAATATCAATCATATAGTAATGATATAGATTTGTCAGAATAAATATCAGTTCAGTTTGTAAAAAAATTAACAACATCAAATTCTTTAATTAATGAGACTCTAATACACATAAGAGAACTCTAATCATGCAAAATTAATCTTACATATTTGAGTAGGCTCTAATGCACGACCAAATTTTTAAATAATGGAACTTTAGTTCACGTGAACGGGACTCTAATGGTACAACACTAATAACACACATGACTATCAAAATAATGTAAACCCCACATACCCTCATTTCCAATCCAACACTTCTGATCTTCTTCTTATTCCTCATCATATAATCAGCCCTATAAATAATTAATAACTATTACAACAATTAACACAAACCACAATATAACCACAAATTCATACTCCAAAAGATGGTCCTCCCCCACCCGTCTTCCATGATGGTGGTTAGTTCATAAAAGAAATCAATTATAGCCAAACTTTTGATTATATCTTATGAATAGTTAACAATGTTTATTGATATTTGTCTCACAAAGCCATATCAAATTAACTCTACCGGGGCATGCCCCGGGTGTTACACTAGTTATATTTAATTTTAGTATGATTTTATTTCTAAATATCCTACTATTCCCTTTGTAATTAATGAATTTCTACAATAATCAATATCTGTATTGTCTTAGAATCCGGTTGAATGTCCTGGAATTCTGTCAAGAGGGGGCGAATCTGTGTTGAACTAAAAAAGAGTCTAAAATATATTTTATGAATAAAATAAAGAAATTTTTATATTAAATATATCTAATAAGGAGTAACTTTCTTGAGTGAGTTCAAGTAGAATATAAGGGGATATGCTCATACGGGATGGGAACCACACACATAGTTCAACTAGTAAAGTCATAATGAAGATTTTTTTTACCTACACGAGTACCTTAACTGATAAAACGATGAAAAAATTGAACAACGATTAAAATAGAAATTCATAGCAATTGTGTGGAGGTCACGATGCATGTCTGCAAGTTCAGCCTCAAGTGCACACAATAAGGCCACTATTAGCAATGTTCTAAAAGGCGCAAGGCGTGCCGAAGCGTCGTGACCGAGCCTTAAGCCTTTGAAGACTAGGCGGGTCTAGGCGGGGCATAGGCGTGAAAAGGCGTTTTGATTATTTATCTTTTATTTTATTTTTTCTAGAATTATTTTCAAATATTATATTTAGGATGTTTTCTTTTGGACTGAAATTTGCTAGTCAGGTCTGGTCTAAACTGGTCTGGTCTGGACTATATGTATTTTATAACTATGGAAGTCTGATTTGGTCTGATCTTATCTAGTCTGGTCTGGTCTAGGACTAAAAACAAACCAAAAGAAAACATCCTTAATACTCCATATTAAATAATGTTAATCTAGAACATCGTCCTCTTCTAATCGCCAACCAAAAAGAATTGTGGAGTCCTAAATCTAATAGATAGGTTGATATATATGTGTGATTGAATTACCCAAAAACTAGAATTGGAAAAGATAGTTGAATGATAAAATATTAATATGGATAAAAAGAAATCATTTGTAATATGTGACCAAAATCGGGACAGTGAATAAAAATGTGATTTAATAATTTATAAAGATTATTACATTATTAATTACATTGCAGTGAATATCTATATATATGGTCACTCTGATTTAGTTGTATTTTATGTTCATAAATTTTTATTATAGTAGTATCTCAAGAAAAACCCTAATGAATTATCAATTGACGATGTTGTTGATAGAGATAAGAATAAAATAGTCATAATTACAACAATAATAGTAATAAGCATTAATATTAATAACTAATTAATAATAATAGTGGGGAGTTGTACTTTAGCAAATTAAGTATACAGTTATGCACGTATATAATACGAAGTATAAAGAAAGAGAATAAAGCTCAAAGATAGCCTAATAGGAATCCCACACCGGATCAAGCTAAGAGAGTCAGAGTTAGTGGTTAGTTGGAGGCGTGTCTTCGCTTTTCAGGATCCCACACCGGACGAACACAAATATTTCGCTTCACCAAACTCTATAAATTATCCCTTTGTCTTTGAATTCTTCAATCGACGCCTTCATCATACTTCATACGGTGAAAGTTGCTTTAAAATTTGGGGTTAAATTTTTAACCCCGCCTTTATCCACGCCTAGTACGTATGCGGGGCGTTTGGCTTACGCCTGGCGCCTTGGCCCGCCTTTGCGGCGCCTTTGGCAGCCTTTTAGAACACTGACTATTAGGATTAATTGAGTCATGACTTACCTCCTCCCAATTACTTTTCGGGTCTGGTGTGGAGCCGATTTTGGGGGTTCAATCCTCTTTGGACAATAATAAAGAAAGTTTGGACAAGACCAATCAAAATCCGGTCTCCCATAGGTCAATCCTCACTTCTGAGCTGAGCTCTAGGTTGGGAATTAACTTTTTCGACAATTGGATTTGGTGTCAAACCAGCAAGCAGTTTGAAAGTTCTGAACTGGATAAAGGCCAGACTTGCAGCGCTTCGTTCATTTTCATGACGTCGCGCTTCCCAAGGTTAGCAGCTCTTCGTTATTTTTCCTCCATGAGGACCCTCATCACTGGCAAGGCTCCTAGCAACATTCGCTATCGCGGACCCCTGCTACCACTAACGCTCAGGCCATTCTGCTCGACATGCTCACATTTCTCAATGGACCAATCAGTTTTCGTGCATTCATCATCAGGGACTGGTGGGTTTCCGTTTATTCTAACTTTCAGCTTTCCAGTTGTATGTAGAAATGCCACTGTGAAACTCCTTAGTCTTTTCCCTAATGAAATATTTCTTTTTGATGCAAAAGTATGAAACTTTCATCATTTTCAAATGTGAACTTTGTACTATTACGGTTTATTTGAATCACGGGCGTCGATACAATATTCAACTATTCGTATGCTGCCCGGACATGCTCACTCGTGTTACGACTTAAGATCATCTATATAACAGTATATCAGTATTTGATTATATTGGAACAGTGTTACCGTTTATGTAAAGTTTATATTGTTTTTGAGTTTGATTATGTTCTGGTTCTGCCTAGTTATGAATTGCTTGAGAAATCTGGTTCAGATTCAAGGCTAAATGGTTGTACTGATATTGAACATGAAGAATTTCGAAAATGGGACAATGGAGGTGGCTCATTCCATAAGTCTTCTAGTATTGATCCAAGTGCAGTCATAGAAATTGGCGCCATAGTGCATTCAGAATCTGTTTTAGCTGAAAATGTTCATGTTGGTTCTGGATCAATCATTGGGCCTTCAGTTACAGTAGGGCAATCAACAAGGATAGGGTACACTTTCCTCACTTTTTATACGGAGTACTATGTTTGATGTTTATTACTCCATACTTCCAAGATTTTCTGTCTTCAATCTCAGCTTTATATATTATTTTATGATTTCATTTTAGTTTTGATTCATTACGACCCACATTGTATTAAATTGACTCTTGGTTTAGCTAGGTATGGTGTCGCACTCACTAACTGCACAGTTGGTGATTTTTGTCTTCTTCACAGTGGCGTCTGCGTTGGACAGGATGGTAATGATGACTAGAGGATTAAATTGACATAACTGATAATAGGCCAACTATTTTTTCATCTTAAATTTTAACCATCAACACCTGAGAGTTTATATTCTAACAGGTTTTGGATTTTTTGTGGATGAACAAGGAAACATGGTGAAGAAGCCTCAGGTTTGTGAAATTTGTTTTATACTTCGTACTTTTATAGACTGGCATAAACATATTTTTTTCTCTTTGTGTACTTGTGTAGTATTTTTGAAAATATCACTACTTTGAATTTATGAAAAAATTGATGGATATTTCTTATTCGATATAGAACTATTTTAGAAAAAGAAAGCTTTGTTTTGTAAGATCATATTGAAAAAGTATCTTCCCACTTCATGTCAAAAAGGGTAATATCAGATATTTCAAAATATAGGAATTCTGATGGAAATTTCAAAAATCGCGGGGTATTTCAATGTTTCATTATTGGGTGCCAAAACTGCCCATTTAAAATTCATTAACTGCCCATCTAAAAGTGCATAAATACAAAACTTAATTTGATGAAGTTATCAGGGGAATATACATTCCCCCCTTGCTTGCAATATGCAATATTTGCCCTTTTTGGAGTTTGAGCCATCATGCATCACAAATTTATTCCAGAGTGTCATTTTATAATTGTTGTTTTGGCATTAACAGTCTTGTTGAATTTCATCTTCAGAACCTAAAAGTGAGGATAGGAAACCATGTAGAGATTGGTGCAAATTCATGCATTGATAAGGGCAGGTAAAATTATTTTTCATTAACATATATTGAATTAAGTGTCGTCTTTGTTTCTGATCGATTTTGATCGTTTAACCTACGGGGAGTTCCAGTTGGAGGGATACTGTAATTGGAGATCATTCAAAGATAGATAATTTGGTTCAGGTATTTCAAATTTATCCTCACAGTTCACACTGTCTAGCACTCTTAACTTTGAGAATCCCAATGTACTCAAGTTTGCAGATAGGTCACAATGTGGTTATTGGGGAAAACTGCATACTCTGTGGACAAGTTGGTATTGCTGGCTCAGCAACGTACATCTCTTTTCTCTCTCACTCTCTCTACATTCATAACACACATATGTGTGCTTTAGTATAAAGAAAATAAAAAAAGGGCATTATTGAATTTAGAAAATCTGACATCAACTTATTCAAAATTTGATTGCTTTTTATTAATTTAAGATTTTTAGAATCTTCTTTCAGCATAGGGGACTATGTAACTATGGGGGGAAGAGCTGCAGTTCGTGATCATGTATGCATTGCCTCAAAGGTAATTATTGTCAAATTTAACATTATCCATTTCTAGAATTCTGAAAATCATTTTTGTGATGTTTTTTTTGTATTTGTTGCTTATACTTTAGGGTTCGTAATAATTGTTTTGAGGTACAGGTCAGGTTAGCGGCTAACAGTTGTGTTACGAAGGATATAAATGAGCCTGGTGACTATGGTGGCTTCCCTGCTGTAAGGATTCAAGGATTTGAATGAGCCAGTTTTGGTGGTTATTTTTATATTTGCTTTAAAAAATTGAAGTTTTTTTTGCTGCAGCATCGTAAATACTTTTTTGGGGATTGCTATTACAGATTCCTGTTCATCAGTGGCGAAGACAAGTTGCTGCCCACCGCCGGTCCTCAAAGTAGAGATCCATTGGTCTAGAAGGCCAATTTTATGTAAGACACCGAGCATAAAATACCTTCGTACCTTCTGAATATAAATTATTTTTGAAAATGTCAACTTCTGAAAATCTCTGGTTAATAAATTTCTGAAAATAATCTTAACTTAAAAGGATGACAACTATTGTTTACCACGATATGAACTTAGTAAACAGTAATGAAATAAACTAAATATTTATATACATTAAAACATGTTCTTTAAGAGAGAAGAACAAGGGAAATCAAAGAAACACAGATACATCATGGTTTGCAATCCACATTAATGGAATATATATGATGCAAGATCTTACCTTGTAGACATTCATAACCTCATAAAGTTGATTTTTTGTTGTTGAAGAAGAGAGTACCATTCTCCAGTTCTGTGAGGACTAATTGTTATGTTGTGTACATATGCTTCATAATGCATCTTATGATGCTTCGTTTTCCATTTCAATATCCTATACTGAACTGTTGTCTCCATGCCAATAACAAAACTTACATTTCCACCTCTGATCTTTTGTGAAAACTGATGTAGGTCAACTCTCATAAGTACAGCCCGTGTAGTATTATTCTTGTGTAAAGTCTGATTGAAGCCTGGGATGTAATTCTTTGCTACAATGATCCCAGTGTAGTTGATAGTGACATAGATATCACTGTAGTATACCGTCATGCCCTTGTTGTTGGGATTGAAGATTTCAATGCCTAACATGACAGAAGTATTTCGAGCACCTGTGTTGTCTGCAGTTGTAGACGTTTTGATATCTGGAGAAAGAACATGGAGATCAGCTATGGTGAAGGTTGGACATCTGGGGATTAGAGTAAGCAATATGAGTAGAGATGTCAAAATCCAAACTGTCGCAACTTGAAAGTACCACCAATAGATCCGAGATTTTTCTTTGTCTTGTTTTCTGCATGCCATTTTGGGCTCTTTTGGGTTCATGATATTGCAGAAAGGTATGCTTATGCAGTTATGCTGAGTTGCTTAGTATGTTTGTTTCTTGGATGTTTTATACTTGTCATTCTTAGTTTCCTTAATGTTAAAGGTACAATTTTAATATTTTAATAACTAATCACCTTTCTATTGTTTTTCAATTGCCTAAATCCTGCAAAAATTCACTCATTCCCCCTTTTCATCTCCCAATGGGCTTTGTACACCTTTAAGAAAGTGAAAAATAGTATCCTTAGAATGTTCTTCAACGAAAGAGAAATGCTATCCAGCGCCGGATCTATTTTCCCTAGAAAAGTGTAGATAAATTTAGGATGAATGAAGTAAACAAGAAAATAATGAAGTTAAAAAAGTATTGTAGTAGTAATATTTTTGCGTGATTTAGGAACCTAGCAAATTATTTAAAAACTTGTCAACTTAACCACGAATATCAAAATTGGTTAGAATTATAGTCAATTTTTTTAATTGACTACGAAATGTGCCTCTAACCCCTTAATATCGCTTAGAGGAATTTAAACACCTGTGGTAATTATTCTTTTCTTTCCATCTTGAACTTCATATTGCTTTAAGCGCAAATAGTAGACTGTAAATTGTTGCAACTTTCAAGCAATTAGCCCCTTTTTCTAAGATTAAAGTTTTGACGTGTCTTTATCTTCCTTTACATTTTAATTTGTTAATGGACCTTATCTTTCTAGCTTTTTCTTCTTGCACTTCCTTTCATTAGTTTCATACTTCATTCTTAAGAATGTCTAGGTGTAAACTGCAAGTAGAAGGGTTTTATTTTCAATACTTATCTCTGAGTTTGAAACTTTATTACTCCATGTATAGTTGAGTAAAACTTGTACTTGTGTTTATGCGTGCTGACAGAAAATTCGATCCTGAATGTTCATAAATGGCCCATAGTTTTATTCATTAGTAAGAAGAAAAGAAAAGATTATATGTAGCTTATCAATGGTCTAATTGATGTAAATACACACTGTATTGGAGATTTGGAGTGAAGGAACTTTATTTCAATGCAAAACCAGATTATATGTTTGTTAATACTTTACTATTAAGAAAACCAAACTCAACACTTGTTAGAAACAAATTTACCCTTATTCCTGTCTGCAAGCAAATCCAAGTCCAAATCCACGAACAATTACAATTTAAAGAAAAGTAGGAATTGAAATTTGCCACACCAAAAACAAACTCGTTAAAAAATTTAAGGCATTACTTGAAGAAATTAGCTAAAATAGACTGCACATCTCCTTCCTCTGTAGGCTGATGTTATCATGCCATCTTTTCCAACCTCGACTGGGCAATTAGCATGCATCCTATGGCGCTTACTTTCCCATGCCGTCTTCACTTTGAATGTAATCACTGATGTTAATTGCACCTGGAAACGCACAAGTCCTCTTGACTGCCGGTCGCGCAAAAACTGCTGCCAGATTTGGTTGGTCACCATCAAAGAAGAACCGGTTAGCACACCTGCAAGAACGGTTGTGTTCTTCGGCAATTGATAAAGCGGGAGTAACAGAGATGCCCCGCCTATAGTTTGGTCTTGATAGACCAATGTGAGCCGCATGCCATCATAGTCAAACTGGACTCCTTGGTTGGAGTTTCGTACGGTGACATTGAAGATGATCTTGGCATCCTGGAACCCATTCTCTTGGGCTAGACCCGGGACGGAGAAATCTTCGATGTATACTCTTGGCCGATGGGGCCGGAGGTTTAGCCATAAAATGAACAATATGATGCCCACAATACCAAGAAGGCCTAAGAAAAGGGTGCAAATGATCTTAGACAGCCTTGTTGTCAAGCTTTCTTTCACTCGGTGCGCATAATACCGAACCGTGCGGTTGCGTTTCAGATTGCCATCGTAGTTTGGGGCTCCGTGGTGGATGGGCAAGCGGCTGTCGGCATAATTGTTCATTTCGTTAAATTTTATTTCCGGCTATGAATTCGATATATTATGGCCGAGGCACAAGCACTGTATATGGCAAGTGACGTTTATATACATACATATATATATGTTGGAGAAGGTTGTCTGAAATTAAGGTGGCCGAGGTGCAAAGTAATGCGACAGGTATGTCTTGGTCCTGTGGAGAAAGAAAAGTATACATACATTCCCTCGAAGAGAAGCAAGACTAATGAACAATTGAATAATATTGCTCTGCTCTACTTGAAGGATTCTTGCAGTGTTAATGGATACTTGCCAAATTTAACCACCCTGGTGTGGCTAAGAACCCACCCGGACAAAAGTGTTGAATTTTTCAATATAGTAAGTTTGGTGTGAGTTCAGTTTGATGGTAGAGCCGTAGAGGTAAGGTTTATGCACTTCAGAATCCAACTTTAGGCATGGGCACATGTTGGGTGAGTCGATATTATCTATTAAACAAGTAGGTTCGGGCTGAGTATAAGGGTGGACCGGGCCCGTTCCGAGCTTTGGGCCGGACCGGGTCTGGGAACTGGAGGCCCGGTACCGGCCCGGGTAGGTTCCGGGCCCGGGTCGGGTAATATATATCTATATTTTTTTTGTGTTTTCTTGTTTATTCCTACCCCCAAAAAACCACCCAGCCCCAAACGCATAGCACCCAAATTACCCAATCCATTTGGAAAAAAAATAAAAAAAATCAATTTGGGCCCGCACCGGTCCCAGACTGGCCATGCTGGTCTATCAACCCATCATTTCTTTTGATGCAACAAAATGAGTTTTAATCTAAACTAACACATTTTATTTATACAAAAAAAGATCGGGAAATTAATCTGGAGTAAAAACGTTTTGCAATTCCAAAATAGTATTGTCACATTTTTATTATTCTAGAAATATGAGTAATTATTGCAATATTTTGGCGATATTAGACTCTGAACATGGTGTCTTTTTCAAACTTGACTGTAATTACTCATATTTAGCGAATAAAAATATGTCAATCCTATTTTAGAATTCTGGATTGTTACTCTTATTTTGGAAATTTGTATGGTATATATTACCGCACCTCTCATTTAAGAATAGTAATGTTGAAATAATGGCGTACTATGTATATATGATCAAAAAATAAATACGATTGAAAAAAGTGACCATTTACATAGTGATTATTATAGTACTACCTCTGTTCCATAAAATAGTTCTCACTTTTCTTTTTGGGTTTTCCCAAAAAATAGTTCTCATTTCTCTTTTTAAAAAGTTTTGTGTGACTAACATTCATTTATCTTTTTCTTATTCAATCACAATCATATATTTCCACTTCAATCCAATTGAGATATGTATCGGAAGCAAACGTAATTTTCGTTGTCATTCATCGTATCACAATACAATCATTTAGCTAGAAGTCATTGGATAAATAATGCTCCGTTAAAAAGTGATAAACCAAAATAGCAATAAAATACGATATGTAATTATTAACACCATTGAGACATTTGATGCGGTCAACGCGCGTAACTAATTCTGCATGGGAACGTACGTGATTTACACCAACACCACCCCCCTCAAGATGGAGCATGGGGTCTTCAATGCCCATCTTGGCAAGAAGATGATGAAATTGAGATGTACCCAAAGCTTTAGTGAATATGTCCGCCAATTGTTCTGAAGTAGGTGTGTAGGATGGAATAATCGTTCCGGACCGCACATGATCCCGAATAAAATGAAAATCAAGCTCAACGTGCGAAGCCCACTCATGGAACACAGGGTTGGAGGCAATGTGAAGAGCTGCTTTGTTGTTACAGAAGAGCTTTATTGGCGGGAGCCTAATGCGTAAGGAAGATAAAAGGTTTGAAGTCAAACCCCTTTAGATTGGTTTTTGTCTAGTGTTTAGATTCTCTATGTTTGTGGTTGGTGTTGCAAAATGTAATTTGTGACTGGGTTTGGATTATTTTTGGTTCGTCTGGGGTTTGGGGATGGTTATTTGAGGCTGGACGTTTGCAGGATGGTGAAATTATCCGAGGGTTAGCCGAAGAAGACAACCGGGGGGAGGGGGGGGGGGCGTGGCCAATTACATAGGCCCATGTTTCTTTGTCTCTCTAGTTTATGGTTCGTGTTGAATACAGTTCAATTTGAAAGGGGTTTGGTTTCGCCGGGGAAGACCACTGGTCGGGTATGTCAAATACCCGGTCGGGTATCCAGCCATAGGTGTTGAAAGCACCTATAAATAGCCTCATTTTCCTTCACTTTTAATTATTCTTTCTTCCATACTCTCAAGCTCAGTTTAGAATAGCATTTTCTTTATATTTTTATAGCATGTTTAGTCTCCAAATGATGAGCTAAACTTCCATTTCTTGGTTTTGCTCTTGAAGCTTGTTGATTATTAAAGCTGTGAGTTATTTTCTTAACTTCTTCTCTTGATTATTAATTCTTCCCTTAATCTCATTTCTATATTAATATTGGGGTGTTTCTATGTGACGATTTGTTAGTGTTTCGACATTAATTACTACTAGAAACAATCAACGAAGCGATGGTTAATCGTTGATAGTTTCACGAGTCAGTAACTTCGGTTAATTAATGCACGGTCATGGTTAATAAACTTAATCGGGATTAATTTTGTTGGTTAAACCAAAACCATTGTGTTAAGGTTATCAATCTCAATTGATTTCATTAAGAAGTTAAAAAGATTAAATGCTACTATTAAATCGGTATATGACATTGTTCTACATTTGATTAATAGTAAGGGCTCTTAATGAACGGTCGTTGTTAAGAACTACCCTCGATGAATTGGAGATACTCCTTGATTGAGTATTCGAGAGGGGATAAGTTAAATACTCTGCATATAGCAAGGATCGTCTAAATATATCAACAAGTGGAAAGTAGCAAAGCCAAGTTCTTTTTATCTTTGAATTAAATTAAATCACTCAATCCCAAACTCCTCTTTGATTTACTAGTTCCATAAAAGAAAATTATTCTTTTCCATGTGGATACGAACTCTACTTCACTATACTACGTATAAGTGTTAGTATCGAATTTTATTTTGACGCACTACGACAAAGTGTTCGTCAATCACACATATATCATTAGTAAAAAATATACCGCATTTTCGGTCATCAATTAATTGTGCCAATGAAATTAGATTGCAAGTCAATCCAGAAATCAATAACGCATTTTTCAATGTAATTTCAAGGCTTATCTAGACCGGTCCTTTACTCATGGCATAT